TCTGTTTAACCTCTTGTTAAGTCAAATGATTGTGCTTAAATCTCAATTTTTTAAAAACTTAGAAACAATTATTAACTCAAACAAAAAAATTAAAAAACTTGACCAACTTTATATAGAGCACTTATTATATTTAGAACTAAACTTATTACCAATCAAATCTCAACAAAATCCAAACTATACAAATAATATTCCAATCTCTATGGCAACAACCTTTGTCCCTGCTGTGATGTCTTCTCCAAAATTCTAAATTATGTATTTTACTATTATTACATACTCAAATATATTAACAAAAAAAAAGTCAAGCTATCTCAACTTATCTCAAATCAATTAGAAAAAGATCTCCCATCAACAAATCAAAATATTTCAACTTTCAATCTCTCAAGCGAAACAATTCTTAATCTAGAAACAGGCTTCTACCATATAATCTTTTCTTCTTCTGAAATCAAATAAAAAAAAACTAAAGTCTCAAACAATAATAATGAATTAACATCTAACAATAATAATAACTTAAAATTTCAAAAAATTTTAAATTTACTCAAACTTAACAACAATAACATTAATAAACTAATTTTTACTCCAGCCATAGTATTATTATTTTGAATAGGTGTTAACTATTTGACACTAGTTTTATTAAATCTATCTTCTTGGTGTTTGTTGATAATACTAGTTTAAGTCACAATAGGTTATAGTTAATTTGTATTTTACAAAGACTATTAATATAATGGTAGCAAACATTTGTTTAATAAAGCCTCACATTAATGCCCATTTGTGATAAAAAAAAATAAATAAAAAATAAATAAACTTACAAAATCTAATACATTATCTTCAATTTTAAATAATAATACTTTTACAATTAATGAATTATGGTGTGCCATTCATCTTAAATTCAAGCCAAAGATCAACATAATATTAAATTTTATAATTTTTGTTAAAGTAAAATTTTTTACATTTTATTAAAATAAAAATTAAATATTAGGTAAATTTTTATAAAACTTTAATATTTAAGTATATTAATATATGCTGAACAAAATTCATTAATAGCAAATTACAGTAGTTATAAAAATTGGGTGGGTGTCAAAATTTTAACAACAAAATAAAAAAACTTTTGTTCAGAAAATAATTATTCCATATAATAATAAAAAGTTTATCTATATTTAATAAAAATTTTATTGTAAGTAGAATTTATTATGAAGAATAAGTTTAAATGATGACTTTTTTCAATTAATTATAATAATTCTTAAGTGATCCTTCATTTATTGGGGGCACTGTATCTTCAGAAATCCTTTTTCCTCTCATGTTTGGAAAAAGATGCCTTTCGGGCAGGCCCTGGGTCCGACTGTTTTTCCTTCCATGCAGGCTCGCAATTATTTTTCGTTTTGGATAAAATTTGCATGGGTTATACCTTTAATTTAATGAATCAAAATGAATAAAAGATTTCGTCCATATGAGGGCTTCGTTTTAAGCGTATGCAACTCGTACCAGCACGAGTCGATTTCTTCGTCAGTAGTCGGCTACAGTTCCTTGAATATTGGTTAAATTTGATTGGATATCGTGAAACCTAAAATGTGATTTTGTGTAATTTTAGTTGCAGTCTTGCATAAAAATGCAACATCCCAATTCTTCCTATGTAAGTGTATGCCCCTCAACTCCAGACTCCTCAACTCCAGTTTCCTTGTCTCAAGCTCCAAGTCCACATTCACGCTCTGCAGACGAGGAGGCATCCTTGGAATGTATCGAAGCTATCAAAGCCAATCCAGAAGACGTCAACGTTATCAAAAAAGCTAGCGATAAAGAAAAAAAATGGTGGATTGATGGAAATTATAAGGCTATCGATGAGGAAAGGTAGTAATCATTATGTACCATTTCCTATTGACTATGCTAAGGCTTTGCTTATCTTATTAGACTGCCTCTACGTCTCATGGAAAATGTAACGTACCGTGAATATGAAAAGAAAAGTGAAATTGTAAACGCAGGCAGATTTTGGGAGTTTGATGATGGCGTTGTAATCATATATGAGTTGCCAAACTGTGATCATGAGGTTGCACACACTGCGTTTTCTCGACAATTTCTATCCGCCTTCACCAATCTACAATTTCAAGATGATGTTACGGGTGCTGGAGCGACAAGTATGTACCATTTAATACTCTTGATTGTATATAGATATCATTATTTTGAACTTAATTCTGTTGCATTCAGCTTGTCTTGGTTCGGGGCGAAGATCTGCCAGACAAGCGGACACTTCATTTGTGCCCAATCGCTTACCTATACCATCTCCTCATCCAAGTGATGCTCAGGTATGCACTTTTAATTGTATTGGCAACGCATAACACAAAAATATGAACAAGTATCTTTGTTTATAGGGTAATCCCTGGCCAACCGTAGTCTGTGAGGTTGCCCGATGCCAAAGCCTTCCACATATACTCCAAAAAACCAATTCGTTCTGGTTAGCCCCAAACCGGTCAGAAGACGTGATAGTACTCAAACTATGGCCATGGAATCGTAGGAAGGATACAAATGGGCGCCCATTGCGTCGATTAACAGTTTAGTATTACTTGTAAGTTCATTTTATTTCTATCCATTCATCTAATGATTTGTATTCTTGATAGTGTTATAAGTTTTGTCGTCGTGCAAGCCTTCAAGCAGGTCAAGCACAAGGAAGGTTCCAGCCAGTCCAAACGGTAGGAATCAGTGTATTTATGCTAGTTGATCCATCATGTTTGACTTACAGAATCGCCTTATGCATTCGTTATTTACAGTACGAATTTGGGACCATTGATAGACATCGAAGACCTTATAATGGTTGCTCAGCCCAGGGAATTCTTACCGTGACAATTGCGCCAGAATGTGTTTATGAAGGTTGTACTCCACCATATCCGCCGTATCCGCTTGCAGGGAACGTAACCATTGATTTATCTAGTATCCAGCAAGCAATTTTTCGTTATCAAGGACAATAAATTCTTATATGCATATAGAAGTCACGGTAGCATTGTAATAAGTAGCAAAGTAATCATTTATCAAATTAGCTAGCTTTGTGCAATTTAGATACTTTGTGAATGCATAAAAAAACTACATTTGCGATTTCAAAAAAAAAAGACTCGGTTGGCAATTCCCAAAAATTATTTTTCTCGTCAATTCTGTTAGTAGCCTAGTTTTTTTTTTCAGGCACTCGAAGACTCAAAAAATATATTTACTTTATTGTAAGGCTTAACTCTCGCATTATGGCTACAATGACTCATCAAAATTGGGAAAATCCATCTTGTGCAATCACTTGTGCTATTAATATAATTCCCAACTCTTCGAGATATTTCGGAATCGCGATATGCGGATTTTCGTAATACCATACCTCGATAAGAACGATCCGATTTTCATCGCAGAGTTCCCTTTTGAGCTGATCACGTATTAATTGATTCTCAAAGTCTTCCTTATTTTTGTGGAAGTGTTTTACATATTTTTCGTGTTGCTTACCTTATACCTCTATGGCAAATCTATACCGTGGATAATAAATATCAAGCTCTAATCCTCGAGGATATTCTGATGTTTTCAAGAAATCTGGTCGGCGAATATCGGAGGGTGGGTCAAGAATATTGTTATAATGCCACGGCCTAGATTTTTGTGTTTGTTTAAGCAAAGTGAACACCATGTTTTCGCATGTTTTATACCATTAAAACTCGCAAGCCATTTATGCCCTTTACCATACATCCATTGCATCGGAACACAGATTTAAATATTCCGTAGAAAGACACATACCTCTACTGTGAGCAATTTCCTTTGCTTCCATAAGACCACAAGGAAATTACCAGCACATTGTGAACACCATCTTACCATATTTTTTATTCGATAAATGTCGTAGACCATTCATGGCCTTTGATGCATCTCCAAAACATTGGAGTAGTTGCATTAATATATTCTGTAGAAAGGCATTTACCACCTCGTTCTTGTGCAATATTTTTTGCTATATCAATATTGAGAAATCGACACTGTCGACACCAAGTTCCATTAATAATATCTTTTGCTGAAGCCTTCCATTACACTGCCATTGGAGAGGATCCTGTCTATTAATATACTCAATTGAAAGACAAAGACCTTTTTTTTCTGCAAGTATTTGCATATACTTAATGGCTCTGGTTCGAGTAGGACGATTTGCAGGGCATTGTGGACACCCTGATTTTATTCTAGTAAGAGGTGCAATCCATTCATGATCTCTTGAGCATTTCCAAAGCATTGGTGTCTTTTATTAATATATCTTTCAGAGAGACATCTTCTTTAACAATATCTAATGTTAGTTTACCATTGTACTAAACCCAAATAATACCTTATATCAAACTTTTAAAAGGCCGGCTAATCCCTCCCTTTAAACAAGATCTGCGTACTCAATACTGTAATTTATATCGTTTAATTAGTCGGTCTTTTTACTCTAATACATTCATTTAAGAAAAAATAATAAAGATATGATTTGACCTTAATTATTGCATGCGTGTAAAAAGTATTTTATTATATCAATATTTACGGATTCGACAGATTTCCGAATATTACTGAGATGGGTAAAGTCACTTTAGGATATTTTTAACCCTGATAGCTCTGCTAATAAGTTGGACTTCTAATTCCATGATTTTGCTTTCTTCGCTGAATTTAAGTGGTAATTGCCGATAGAAGCGCGATCCGGATATTACGAATCGCCTGCCGAGATGCGTGGACCTGGCTAAAATTCAGTCACGATTTTCTATAACGGATATGGGTATTTATTTTCGAAAGCGACAAAAATGCTATACAAATTTGTAAATGAATCACATTGGTACCGATCCGGAATTGCTGATACGTAGTTCATTAACCGTAATATTTGCCTAACATAATGTTGTTTTGCGTTCGAATTTATAACGAAATTACGAATTAATTACTTAGAACGAAATCCAAAGAAACAATGCATGATCACATAGAATAAATCAGATATACTGTAATTCGTGTTAAGAAAAGGCATGCTCATAAGATGCGCAAAAACTAAGCTAATCCATCTTTGTTTTACAAGCTACTGATACAAAAATGTGCGTTGTCTCAGTGAACTGACCCTAAGATACAAAGTAATTCACATCGTATTTTTTTACAACGCGAAGCCACGTAATTTCAAACAAGCACTATAATCTATAACCACAAAATCCCGGTTCCTTTCTCTTATCTCGCTACTAATCCTTTCCTTATGTAACGTTTCTACAAAACCAAGGATCTCAGCTGAATCGTCATGGATAATATCCTGTGGTAAAGAAGTTGTAGATGTTTCAGGCTCCGTTGAAGATTCAGATTGGGTTGAGCTATATTCTATTTCAGGCAAGGGATCGAGGGTAATACCTTTCTCCTCATAAAGAATGGCTCTCGATATGTGGCTTACTATTCAATAGTAATAATCTGGATGTTCAGATAGTCCCATACGAATTTTGTTTTATTATTGACTCGTGTTTTCAAATAACGTCGTCCACGAAATTACGGAATTCATTTGTCTAAATAATGAGACTTTAAGTGTAAAGCAACAAAATATTTGCATTAAAAATAACGAAAACAATGATATCTTAATAAAATAAATACCAGTTTTCATTTCATCCACATTATCCACATTCGGTGTGGGAAACGTGAAACGTTTTTGACTGTTTCATATCATGCACTGCATCATTTGAACAAAATCACTATTTGAACTCGGAGTGATGTCGATGATATCAGACTTAATTTTTCCGATAACAATAATACATTATGAGTGTTTCGTATTTATCACGTACCGAATATAAAAGCGTTGTTACAAAATTTCTTACTCAGTACGTGGTCGCGGTTTCTCCTGTTTCCATTTTACCAAGAGGTCACGTACATCGGTGTCGCACACAATCCATTTATTTCCATCCCGGATGGTTTCATTAACACACGCATCTAATTCATCATTCGATCTATTTGAACGATTGTGAGAATTATTGTTTCGTAGTTATTAGCATAAATAATTAAAGTACCTCTCTTGGTTACTTATAAAGTCTCCCAACACGATTTCAATCTGCGGTGCTAGCGAAGACACGAACTTTTGCTATCATCATAGTTATCAGGGGTTGTAGTTTCAGTTTGTGTCTGTGCTATCAAAGAAATGTTGGAATTATCGTTACGATTAATCTCTTCGTTGTCGTCATCGTGATCGTTATCATTAGAGGTGCTTTCAGTTTGAGTCACAAAAGAAGTATTATCATTATTAACGAGTTGTCGCTATTCAAGGATTTTTTCTTTTATAACAGTTTAGTCAGCTAAAGTAAAAAAACTACTACGTACATTAGCTTTTCTATCTTCTAGCTAACATGCCCAATCATCCCTATATTCGTCATTATCCCATTTTCTTCTCAGATTTAATAATTTCTTGGAATCTGGCGCTTCTTGCAAAGCCAGGTTTAGCCGTAATCCGCACTCGTGGTGAGCATTTGAACTACTGCGATATTTAAACTTCGAAAAAAAGTTCAACGGACGAGGATCTGCGTGATTCTCCTCACGCGTTTTACTATTGGTCATTTTTCGATTTTATTTTGATTGATCATCTATTTTACCTAAAACACGAAACACGGCACGGACTGGTTTACTCGAGCAGAAAAAACTGAGGTTACTCGCTTGTATTCTGCGGATGTTTTCATATCAATATGAAAAGCACAACCCCTGCGCAAGCGTCTGCTAGGTATTAAGTTGAAGGTCGGGAAAAAACTGAGGTTATTCATCTGGATAAGCAAGGCGTTATTACCAACATACGGGAGCCTGTGCGAATGATTGAGGTCGACCAGATGGATACGCTTCAACACTGGCCGTGCATTGACTTTATAATATACTCAACATACCCTTATGGCTGTAGTAAAATAATCTATAGTCATGTGTCAAAATTTTTATGACTCTTAATGTTTTCTGTTTCTGCAGGAGTATTTTTTGATTCTTCGATTATGATATGAAAATAATAATAAAATCTACTTTTCAGATTTTTGATCAAACAGTCAAATCGTACAAATTATTTACATTGGCAAAATACAACCTGGAAATTTGGGTAACTTTATTAATAATATTATATCGGCGCATTTTGTTATTATTATTATAAAATAGAAGTGTAGGGGCAGAGATTAAGAGGGACGAACAAAGCTCAATATTCACGCCTGTCGGGATCTTAGATTCTTATTGCTACTAATAACGAAATTATCTTTCCTTTTTGGCATGAATGTGCTGGGCTTTCACCGATCCAAGCTTCAGCTCTATCCAACGAGGTTTGTATTTGGATTTATAAATACTTGCCCTTTATTAATGATCGAAACCATATGACCAAAATTTCAGCGAAAATCCGTCGTCGAAATCACAATGGATTTTATAATCTTTATTACTAAGTTAATAAAGTTCGTCCACAGTACCTTCAGCAGGACTTAGCTCTATTTGAGATGATTTCGGGAGAGATACACATAAGTCAATCGTAGAAACGATTCCTCATCAAGACTTGAACGATGCGCAAGATTTGAAATCCCCCCCCAGATCCGACTTACCAAGTCGAAAAAAAGTCAAAACGAGATGCCAGAAAAGGTTAGTGATAAGAGACGAGGAAACATCGGTAAGTAGTTCATTTTTATTGTAAAGCAAGCAATACTAACATTTTACTCTTTATAGATTTGACGCGTGTTCGACTAGGGTTGAAGGCCGAGGATCCAATACCCGACGAAATGGTGGATCGGATGCGAAAAATCAGCTGGTTGGGTAAATCAAAAATCGATTGGGTTACGCCCCCAAAACTTTGTAATTATGTTATTCTAGTATATACTAAAACGTTTAGTTGTTTCTCAAACATTTATCATATGACATCAGCTCCCCTGGGGCCCATTATAACGTGATGTGATTTCTCGGTTATAATTAATTTTGTGGCTATATAGTATATAAGATCAGATGCGTTAATATATTGTCAAAGTTACTACATGTAGCTCCTCTATAAAGCCCAGTAATTAACTTGCCTTTTACTTTACGCTTTTGAATAGGGTGTTTCTTTACCGCATGTATAACTTCTATTCCCGAACTGGAAAAGGCGCTTGAGGTATCTATTAACGCTTTTACTGGGATTTTTCCTTCTACGAGTGTTTTTTTATGAAAACCATGTCAAATATTATTTAATGATATATATTATAACCGAAAAAATAACTCGGTAAATAATTACCCATTCTCCGCTATTAAATATAATTATTTATAATCCACGATGAATGATTAGGAATAATCACACCAGCCTCTCTGATCTAATTATTGAATGTGGAAATAAAATCGATATAATGTGTTTCGACACTAGCTCCGCTATTATCTTGTATTGTGCCACTTATAATTGGGAGAGGTACATTCACTGCTTCAGAATCGCTAAATTCAGACTGTCTCAGAATCGCTGGATTCGGACTCCGTCTTAGAATATTCTGAATCGTAGTATTATTCACTATTCCCAAATATGAAAGGGCTTTTAACCTCAAAGATATTTGGCAAAGTGACAGAAACCTTTTCTCTATCAATCCAACTTCTCATTACTTTCATACCAGGATTTGTTGCGTCAATACCAAAGTCTTTTACTGCAGGATATTTTGATCCATACATTCTTTTAATATATAAATCCTTTTTTTGGGCAAGTGCTTTACTGATACTACCGTACTTGGATTTAGGGTCAATTAGCGCTTTAACAGTTGTTTTTCTATTAACGCATGTACAATCCACTATTAATCTTTTGCGAATTTCTCTAATCGCTTCGGTTTTCCATATATAATCTAAACTACAGCAATTTTTAAGATCTTGGATCGGAAGATACTTCGTTATTAATGGTAATAATTCTGGTGGAAGAAGATCAAGTAAATTAGGCATTGCTAATTAGTATATATCGGAAACAATTAATATTTGGATAATTAATTTAAAAAATTTGAAGAAATGTTAAAGCAACAGAGTATAATCAATTCAGATCAAGAATGTCCAATTACTACTTATACAATTGCGAAAAAATTAGGTTTTAAAAAAAGATAAAAATTTATCCAATATTACTGATAAAGCGGTATCTGGCATTGTTAAGCAAGTATCAGGTAAAAAAATCTGGATTTCTCTTCACCAATTACTGGAGATAGTGAAACCCGAAATTATTGACTTAATAGCAAACTCGAATATACAGTATCTCAAAGAAATCGTACACCATACAAGGCTAAAAGAAAAAAGAAAATTTAAATGATACCGCATCTGAGTCTTCATCCTCGTCTTCATCTGGGTCTAGTTATGAATGGTCTAATGATGAAGATTTTACTATAAATATGGTGAAAGCAAAGAAACGTGATTAGTTCTCTTCATCAAAAATTTCTCTGTATAAATTGATAACATCCTCGACCTCACTGTTTTCTTGTTTAGGTGCTGGAGTATTTGGTCTGTCATTCATTACCCCATAATGATCTGATGCGATATTAATTACCTTGTGTCTTAATGCTAATTGACAGAGATGTTTACGTTTGGGATCATTCTTATTTCCATGAATAGCATGTTCAGATCCAATTTTTCTCAAATGCGATGAGCTTATTCCATGAATTGCTAGAATATTATTAATTAGGTAAATGTTTACATCACCATCTTTATCTCTGATTAAAAATGAAAATTTGTTAGGAATTGTTTTCTGGATTCAAAATAAGTAATTCTCTAGCTAGTAGCAGATCTTTCTCCATAGATATAAGTGGTCTAGATTCATCTTTTTTTTTTTGGCATATCCAGTACAGTATCAAGAATATTTAGAATTATACCATTCGGCAGTATCTGCTTTATAATACTTGATACAGAGGTTTTCCACATCTGCCAGTTTCATACATAACATTATCATTATATCAATTAAATTTTGTATTGTGGAAGAATTGACAATGTTACAATCCTTGAGTCTTTTCTGAACATTTTTCTAAATAAAAAAATTCAGGACAATCAAATCCCTTATTTTCAAAAAGTTTTTGATTTATCGCTTGTTCTTTATTTGATCTTTGAGTAATATCTGGAATATATATAAATTCTATTGTAATATGATTAGCATCAAGATTGCATAATTCTTTTCAGAGTAATTTAAGATGTGATGATTAAGCTATTATAGTAGGAGCTATTTTAGCTAAGTTATATGCTAGCATATTTATTTCTTCAGGTTCAAGATTATTTTCATTTTTCTTAATATATTGAGTAAGATTTTTAATCGGGTCTTGTCCAATAACATGTCTTTCAGAAGTCTGAATAGGAATTAAAGTATATGTTTAATCTTTATTAAATCCTAACTTCTGAATCCTATTTCAAGCGTAATCACGGGCTTTATAATCTTTAATCTCTTTACATATTTTTTCAGCATAATTACCAAGCTTAGCTATACTCATCTGAGGAATTAAGTTATACTGATTTATAAAATTTGTTGTAACTTTTGATATTGTTGATTGGGATATTTGTGTGGACTATAAATATGAAATATATTTTTTTAAATGAAATTAATTATTCATAAATTAACATACTATATTAAAAATATAGAAAGGATCAAAGGAGATATGGCATTACTCAAAGAACTTTTGAAAAAAATTCTAAGTACATGATATGCATCAATGCTTTGGATCAGATCTGTCGATTTAAATTTATCAATACATATGTTATAATGAAAAAATTATAGCTTTTAGTTGTGGCAACTTAGGCTATATTAATATTATTTGATACTATATTTTACTTTTTATATGTCAAAGACACTAGCTTTGCTATAATACTTGAAATAGATTCTGATATTTTCCATACTTATGGATTATTTCTTGTAAATATCAGATTTATTATATCAATTAGTGATATTATAGCTGAATGGAACAGAACATTCATGAATCTAATTTGCTTGAAATAATAATAGTTCATAACATTTGAAAGCTTTAAAAATTTTGATAAATCTTTTATATACTTAAAACCATTACGCATTAGTTTGTGAAATGTTGACCTATTGTGATCAATCTCTCTCTGATTAATAAGTTAACTATTTTGGGAGTGTTTCTATTTAGTATATATAAGCTAAGGTATTTTATCTTATTATATATTCAAAATATTTAAATAATTTTTTATATTTGAATCTTATGTATATTATACAATATATCCTAATATACTTTTATGAATAATGTTAACTGTTTTTATATTAAAAGAGATAATTTTATTTATAGAAATAAATGCTAACAACCTATGTATTGTTACAGACATTGGAGTTTATATGAGAGAAATATAAAGAAATTTCCTTGTAGTATTTGTAGAAAATCTACTATATCTATTATGAAGTATTGTCTAAAATATTTTGATCAATTTTATTCATTGAATTATCAAATAAAATAAAAAAAGTTTATTACCTAAGATAATATAGTGTTGTAGTGAAATGGTGAGTCTGTTGTTAACTCAGGACAGTGCTCGCATTATGCTATAGATGAGCTAGGAGTTTTCTGCCTTTAGCTCCTTGAACTACCTTATGAATTAAGCCAGTGGTCCTCAATAATCGTGTCATTAAACCACTGTAGCCTTACCAATTATCCTATTAGGTGAGGGCTTTACTGGAAGATAGGTTTATTAATATCTTTTATTGGATATCTGCGCAATGAATTACAGTTTTTTCTACTTTACTGTTTCTTCTCTATTGCAAATTGCCTCTTTCTATATCTGTGTATTTCTATTTTATTATTATTGTTCTATCTATTTTCTGTTGTTAGCAACCTACTACTATTTATAATAGTGCTAACATGTCTATCCCAACTTACAATGCATCCTGCAGCCGACTAATGTATAAACTGATACATTAGTAATAATGCACTATGCCAAAGTCTAATTTACTATACAAATTAGAAAGTATTTATAACTACAGAAAGGGACAAAAGTTTCTAAACAGTTTTTTAAACCTTGATTTATTCATGTTTCTACTGTATAATAAATAAAACTATATTTAACACATAAATTAACTACACAATAGATTGATATATAATTACTAATAAATGTAAAGTTACATATTGTAACAGTGTATCGGCGAGTCTGTCGCTCACTCTAGCAGAGATTCGCGTAACCATTACAAGGGTAAGTAAACGAAAGGTGATTTGAGGCGTGTTTTATTTGACCGAGTCTTTATTAATTTTCTTTTACTCG